TTACTGGAATTCAATTCATTTGCATATACTACATTCATTCATGTATTTATTTTTTAATTTCCCTCAGTGAAACCATAATATAGGTTTTACATTTTTAATTACGATATATTCGATAGCCAACTATCTTACCAAGCTGTAAGTCGTCGAACTTGTAGATGTAGTGTAGTGTTAGGAATTATTTTCTGCCTAGGAGTCCGCTTGAGTTAGTAAATATCGGTACCACCTTCTTGATTGTTTTTGTTTGCCTCCAATTAGTGGTGCGTGCACTGCTGCGTTTGTGCTATCATAGAAACTCGTGAGGTCGTGACTAAAGTAATAAAAACTGGCCAAGTGCGTGGTCGGGCCACGCACAATGTAGAGGTAGGGTTCCGTAGTTGCCCGGTCACAATACGTGGGTTTTCTTGATAATGAGCATAATAACTGAGTTCGCGGTTTGACCGTTAGCGACTAAAAATGGGCCCTAACAGGAAGATCGTAACTGAAAGACTTATTTTCAAATCAGACTTATAGGGAGTGGTATTCAGTAACGATTAAAAAAAAACATTTCAATTTTGAAAATAAAACAGTTTACATCAAATAATTCACATGCCCAGGTACAAAGATAACCATAGTTAACTATCTATCTAAGATATACATATATGACCGTAACGAACCTTCACGTAAACAACCACTGCCCTAAATTATCCTGAGGTCGCCCGCGTCAACCAAGATTTTGACGAATGAAACTGTATGAGGCTATATGATTGTATGAATACTTTGAATGAGGCCTACAATAACTACCAACTAAAAAATAAATGAAAGTAGTAAGTAAGATCCTCCCTGCCTATCCCGCAAATAAAAAAGTAAAGCTATAGTAGGTATATAAGTAGTTTTCTTCATAAAATGTTTATTATTAAGTTTACAATAACATTAAAGATATAATGCAGGCTTAGGTCTTTTTCTATCGAGTTGTAACGAAATGTATAATAAGTGTATAATAACATTGGGGGTGTTTTTGAAAGACCTATCCAACGATACCCCACATGATGGAATGGACGGGTAAAAAAAGTCATTCTCATTTACTTGTATGGGAAGTTCCCAAAATAAAAACGTTTTCACAGTTATATAGGCGTGATTAATATTTATAGGGCCTCTGAGCAAAACCGCGGACGGACGGACGAACGGACGGACATGGCGAAACTATAAAGAAAGAAAAAACGGAACAGAAAGGCGTCGACATATATAATGACATGCTGTTTCGTGGTCACTTGGAAGAGAATGCCACGGCTTTATATATTTATCTTTTTGGTAGGATTAGGATAGTATTTTTAAAAATCGAATCTACAAAAAATAAATCTGCGCAACCGAGGGAGTCATTAGCAATATCGAGACCACGTTCATTGATAACATTCGCGATGGTATAGATAAAAGAGCAGTATCAAAGTGCGAGACGAACCTGTACTGTGACCATGGACCTAGAAAAAAAGGCGGACAGAGTCTCGCTAACAAACAATTGAAGCGTCGCAGTGACGGCAGCGTAACTATGTGTGAGCGTGTAGAGGGTTGCAAGATGGAGAAAAATTACCCATTTTTAAACGCAAAATAATTCAATTAGATTTAAGACATTCGTCACCGTCTTCGGAACCAGGACTTTAAGTTTAATAAAACAAAATTGTAATAAAACACATTGAATATAAAAATATTGATTATGAATATTTATTAATATTATAATTAATTTACATTTATTAACGGTTTTTTTAAAGTCCCTTTTGTTGGGTTAATTTTTTATAATATTGTCTTTTACTGTCAAAAGACTTAGAAATCTCCTTCAATTTAGCTATATGGTGAAAACGAATATTCAGATATTTTTCGGCTATATATTCAATGAGAGCTATTTTATGTTTTACTCCAGCAAACGCATGGTCAAGTTTTAAATTTAAAAAAATCCTGTCGTTAGCTATATATTTTTCCAGAATTTTGGTAAGCCTGTACTGATGTTGTCTTTCAGTATATATAGTTATATTATCTCTTAAATGCTTTCGGATCACCATCTCGCAAGTACAACAAAAAGGATGTATTTACTTTCTAAAAGAAAAGCAATACATCCCTTTTATGATGTATTAAAAGAAATACATATCGGTGAAAAACATTGTAGTATAACATATTCAACTAAAAAAGAATCATCGAAAACGTTTCGACATTGTCGGTGTAACTTAGAAAAACAAAAACATTCAGTCGACTTGAAAACCTCCTTTTTTTCAAATCGATTAAAAACTATTCTCCCCTTAACACGTACGTACCCCATGCGAAGCACTGGAAGTATTTGCTTCAACGAGTTGTTACTCCGGAACGCTTGACGCCTCAAATAAAAACTAAAAAATTAATTACGTTTTAATATGTTAAGCTTATAATTGTAAGAGGAAAATAGATATTCATTGTTCTTTATCTTTTTTGGGATGGCGTAAGTAACAACGCGAAGAAGTCCACCTTTTGTTCTCTATAAATCATTCTCCTCGAAATGTTTACTGCAGATTACACTAGATTTAGATGTATTCCAATTGTTTTCATTTCTACAGTCTCTTATTATTTGCACCCAGTCATTCTTCCACACATCATTTGCAGAGGGAAATCTATAAAATGTAAAATTTATAATATTGGTAGTTTAGTATCATGGGACGCCAAAAGTATATACAGAGGTAAATTAATGAATTAAGGAACAATTCAAAGTGAACAAAAAGATATTAATCTCCCATATTTAAGGTAACTTGCAAATTTAATAACTGGCAACACTGATTAGTTTCGTGTTTTGATAATAATTTTTGTTTGTTAATAAAATGTTTTGATAATAAAGTTTGAAATAAATTAAAATAAAAACGAGAAATAAGGTGAATAAATTACTTACTTACCTATGAAAAGTGATACCCTGGCTTTTTTTAATGGAACCACTATGATTTCGACAGGTTTTCATTACAATGTTACGCGGACGCGGTTTGGAGCGTAATGGCGGGCGGTTGACTTACTATGGTGTGCATGTGTGCGTGCGGGCTTGTTTGTATTAGCGAGCTGACTTAGTATGGGTGCGTCAGTAATTGTTTTAAGAGACGGCGTCCGCCCTTTTTTCTAGGTCCATGACTGTGACCATTACTTCTCCAGCAAAGCGTGGCGATTAAGGTAAATAACACACACAAATACAATTGGTCACCCATGACCAGGAGTAGGCTATTATGGGCCGATGACGAGTCATTAAGGCAAAATGCATGTACATGCAACCTGCAGGAGTCACTTGAGAGTTCAATGTCAGAAATTCTGACACAACTGCTTAATATTACCGTACCGCGACGCACCACTTGTCGCGTTGTATCGCTGTGAAAAACAGCGTTCGCGTTGATGTCGCTCACGTCGCACGTTCGACTCCTAGTTAGGGCTATAATTAATAAGTAGCAAAAACTGCGTGTTTTTAGACAGTTTATTTATAACCCATTAATCAAAATTGCATCATCATATTAAAAATAATGATATCATCTACATATTATATATATAAAATTTTATGTTAAATGCTTCTAGAACATATATCTCACGAGACCAATCTACTCTTAAGACATTAATTACATAACATTATTGTGTTAGTCACGAGAGATAAACATCAATTAAAATTAAAAACAACATATAATTATATAATTACCATTACAAACAGAATTAGATAGAAATTTGGTCCTAGTTTGCTAAAACTTGAAAGTATTGGTCAAACTGAAGATGCCTATACCTACTAATTGTTGCTAAAATATGAGATTACTGTTAAGTGTACTGTAACAATACGAGATGAAATTTGTTCTTCAAAAATAGTAATTTTTTGGTCTGTTGTATATTCCGAAATATAATAAATTTGATCCAAATCGAGTTGTTACATTTATAACGATTAATCATTCAGAAAAAATTCGATTGTAGACATTAATCTAATGCTTATTTATAATGGTCAATCATACTATTAAGCACTAGTAAATCATAATGGGAAGCTCTTACATTCACTACAGCAAATTCATCCTGCAAAACAAAATTAGTAAAATGACGTCCTCTATAAGCTCATGAAATTCATTTAACTTGCGTGATATAATATTTTACACCATAAAACATCTATTGAGATATGTCTACTTTATAAGACTGCGACTATTTCCGATGTTTAAAACTATAAGTTATTATTTTGGCTTGTTTATCCTAACATGAAAAATCAAATTGCATGTCAGAAATGTCTATGAGCTGTCCAATAATGTTGGGAATATTTTTGTTAAATTTAAATTTTATTTGTAATTACTTGAATGTTATATTATCACAATTGTCATTACAATTCAAGTATCAAAATATATATTTCTTTTTAAAGACCCACATTTACTTTTAACTCTTATCCAACCTGCATTATTTTAATACTTATTTACTACATAAAACACTCATACGCTCACTAAAATTTGTATGTCAAACAACTGCATAAATGAGATATTATTTCAATTTTATTGAAATATTGTCCCTTTAAATCTTTATAAAAGCTCTTTGAAACAATTTGGAGAAAGTATTTAAGTTTGTTTTCATTTTGTGGACAGCCCCAAACATAATAGAGCAGTTTGACTGTAATTACATTGCACCTACAAAGAATGAACGCAAAGAAATATCTTAAAAATAACAATATAAATATCAACTCTCATACATCATACTTAATATCTAAAACAAATTGACAAAATATAATTATGATATAATTCTTAAGTTCGCAAATGTACATATAGACAAGATCAACGCCCCAACTCACAATAAAAATATTTTGTAATATGATGTACGTACCTTAAAATCACCGTATTTGTAAAAATATTTCTATGATACAATGGTCCGTCTGTTACATTATTGTGAGCGCTTGCCAATGCGTGATTTCATCTAGATATCTAGCGATTCACCTATCCTTAAACTAAACGTCAAAACTCTGAGAATTGTCCTGAAAACTATTTTTATGAACTACTCAGTAAGGCCGAAATGGAACATTATATTTTTGATTTTTCCATAACTTTCCTCATCTTCTCCGGCAGGGGCACACCTTTGTGCGCAGCACTCCTACGCAGTTTCACGCTTGGTACACTTTTCACAGATTTGCGTTTTTCACTGGATGCTTTAGCATCACTGTTGTTCATACTAGACTTCCTTGTAGCTACACCAGGTTTACTTGAGTCTGTATTTCCCTGGCCACTCGATTTCTTCAGGTCTGTATTTGGCTTCAACTTTTCACTAACGGATTTACGCGAGACCTGTTTAGTAGGTATTTTTGTGTCGATCTCAGGGACGGGCGATCGACGACGACGTATTCGAGGAGGCGTATGGTCTAACGTGGTGTGGCGCGATAGTAGTGCGGCACTGCTGAAAAGTTGACCGCAATCACACCTATGTTCCACTTCAGTTGTGCCTAGGAAGAATTAGAACAGATGTTATTTAAATTATTTATTTCAAACTACCCGCCCAGTCTACATACATACTTGTGAACTTGCTTTTTAATTGCTAAAGCAATCATTTGTCAAAAATATTATTTGTGTTTAGTAGTTTAATATTTTTATAGATTTTATCCGTAGGTGTTAAATAATGGTAGTTAAATAGTACCATAACAGCATTATTTCAACTTCGCTGTAGTACATCTAGGTTAATGTTTACAGCACTTCCCTATACTTGTATTAAATATTCTAAATGCGGCTTAACGAGAGAAATTTCTATTAATGACATTAATTTAGTTTGGATATCTACGGGGTGGCGATAAAATTATCACATTAAATGAAAAGACTTATCCTATATAACGTTCTTTGAACATACACAACTAAAAAATATATAACAATTAACATTCTAGTCGCAAAAGCTCGTTTTGGTTTTTTTTTCCTAATTACTTATGAACGGGAAAGTGTAGGTAAATAATTACCTATGTCGATGCCGCGTGAGCACTGCGTACCTGCCGGACCGTTGCCGCAAGTTGATTTATTTCATGTCAATATTAACGCTATTTATTTTGGTTGAAAAATGCATTTTTTCATTTTTGGTATTTTTTTGGTTTCAGTTTTGTTTATTTCATTATTTTAATCAACATATATGAACTTGCATATACCGCTGTGTATGTGATAACCTAATCGCCACCCAGTATATGAGGTTTCCAAGTTAATTTATTGTTAGGCTTAGGCCTAAGTATTCTTTTTTTCTTTATACTTATGTTCTTTAGCTATAATTAGAAGTGGATGATTGGCAAGTTTCTTGTTTTTAGCAGAAAAAATCATGTAAGAAATTTTTTAAATGTTAGCCCTCGTCCACAGTGCGAGCCTAGCGCGGTTGCGACGACAGGCGCGAATTATCAAACATATGAAACCGCCGTTTGCATCCATAGTGTAGTGACTAAGGCGGACGCCTAGCGCGACGGGCATGAGCGAGATAGCGCGCGTAGTTTTCAAACATTCATATCCGCGCGTTGTGGCCACACTACAGGCCTAGTCAGCAAGCGATCCAATGCGCGGATGCGGGGGTTTGATACCCCGAGCCGAGCGATAAGACCAGTTCGGTCTTATCGCTCGGCGTAAGAGCGTCTTCATTTTTTTTGGTTAAAAAATTTGTATCTTCTCTAGTGATTTTAGGTGATATTTTACTCATGACGTAATCAAATGTTGACATGGACATTCGAGTATACTCAAAGAATTTTCAAGGGTACAATCTCAATTCTTCATACAAATTAAAAAAATCACCATTTATTTGTCGGTTTTTATTTATTTCGTGCACACCCTCTCTAATGTTCAAAATCTCCCACCTCAGGATCGGACTGTCTAGTAGAAATACTAAATCCTCGTCCATGGTTTACAACACCTGTAATATATCTAAGCACACCAACAGCTCGCTCGTCACTGTGGCCACGGCACGCGCCCGCCGTCGCGCCCGCAACAGGCTCAAGTCACCGCGCATTCACTGTGGACGCCCACTTAAGTGTTTGCAAGTTATTTTGTAGCCACAAATTAATTTTATCAAGATCATGTTGGGCTAATTTCATGTTGGAATGGCTTTGATATGTATGAATTGAGACTCATAAACTCAAAATAAAAATAGATAAAATGTTATTAATTCCATCCATCCATTAATACTTAGAAAAGTTGAACATAGGCCTTTCCCACAGATTTTACATAGGAATTTTGCCACAGTTGCCACGCTTGGCAGGCGGGTTGGCAACCGCAGCGTTTTTATAATTTTTATTTGTACTCACAAAGATGCTGCTACTTATCTCCTGTTTCAATTTCCCTCTGTTGCCTCTTACGAAACCCACGGGAAGATATTATCTGGTAGTGGATATTTTTACGTCCCCACTGCATAGTTAATTAAATAATTATCTATACATATAATAAATCTGTAGAAAAGTCGTGTCTGTAATTCTAATATTTTCTGGAAAAAACAATTCCAGGGGACTAAATAAAGGGCACTGAGACCAAATTGGTGGTTTTTAAAAAAAATTCAAATTGGTCTGTCGATCTGTGTATTACCATTTCACGCCAAAACTTTTGGACAGATTTTCATGAAATTTTGTGTGTAGTTAGGGACCCGGGTCAACTTATAGGCTACTTTTATCCTATTACGGATCATTAAAAAAAGAGGGTAAAGTATTTTTCTTTTTCAAGATGATAATTTCTATTTTATATTATTGATTATTGATGTTTTTTTTTTAATAAATAACATATTTATAAATAAAGCCTAAAATGAGTTTTAACCATTGCATTATAATTTTAACTACGCCGACAATTTAAATTTCACTTTATCAAAACAGTGCCACCTCATGGGAAATCCAAAAGTAGTAACATTTTACCTCCAGTTACTAATGAATGAAATAAAATATATAACTTACATTTTATGTTTAATAATTTAATTCATAATTATTTGAAAATTCTAACGTTAATTTTTCAGTTCTTTCCTTATTTCATTTTAGTAGAAGTTAATAAAGTTTAGTAACTAATTACAGCTAAATAAACTAATAATAAGTAACCGATGAAATTAATGAGAATTCTATTGAATACTTTTTTTTCTTCCAGAATCAAAAATTGTTAGACTTAAAATATCCAAACCGGTGTCGGGATGATTCATCGTTATTGTCAAAATGATTAACAGAACTGTGTACACAAAACTGTGATTATGGCAGAATGTATTTAGTTGAATATGTTGGGTGTCTATCAGCATAGCAATATTTTACCAACTTCTTTTTGTATCAAAACCGATGTAAGTAATTGAAAATTAAGTGGACTGTAAGATTTTCATATCTAAATGATGGAATAGTTTGATTGACTAATTACAATGTAGACGGAGTCTACAATAGTGCAAAAGCTTATTTTCAGTGTTTATGAGTTTGCTTAAGAAAATACGAGAGCTGTGTAGCCCGCCCTAAGATTTCAAAGCACAGGAACAAAAGAGTTCGATTCCCGCGAGGCTCAATGAAACTACTAATACTACCTACCTACCTATTGAGATTTTTGTTACAGTCCCGGTTACATAGCTGACATGAGTAAATGAACAGGCTCTTGCGAGAAAGTACTATAAATATTAAAGACAGCAAATTTTAAACGCATGTTTATTTTAATTTTAACTATGAGTAAAACTACATTGATAGAATCTTGAAAGTTAATGTCCTCCAGACCGAATTTCGGTCACGGCGGCCAGTTTCAACGGAGACTAGCCATCTGCGCAGGACAGGATTATAGTGTCCAAGTGTTTGCGCAAGCACAGGTGCACTCTCTATTCCCTCACTCTCATAGTCCGATGGGACGGTAAACCGACACGACCGGAGAGAGATCAGGCGCAGGACCAACGGCTTAACGTGCTTTCCGAGGCACGGGGGTGAGACACCGCCAACTTCCTGACTCCGGGCAGCTACTGAGAATTTCTTGATAGAAAAACTCAATAACTGATTTTTTTGGCCCGACCCGGGATTTGAACCCGGGACCTCATGATCAGCAGTCGCACTACTACAGCCACTAGACCAACGAGGCAGTCATCTTCTTCTCTCTTGAAAGTTATCGGGTATATGAACCGATCGTAAGCAACCCAAATTCGATCCGCACCGACACCAATCATATTTTAATTGCAATTTGAAGTTTCGATTTACCACGTCCTCTTCTCTCTCAAAACTTACATATTTGAGAAGTAAAAAAAAAAAATTCGGAAATAATTTTTAGGTATACTTATGTGAAGTCAGTCAACACCCGTTGCAGTCAACTCAATCAACTCTTTTTTGTCCAGTAGTGGGATGTGTGTAGGCTGCTACTTTTTTACTTTTAATAGGCCTTGTTAATCGTCATAGGCTTCTCCAATTGTTTGTCAAATAGGCCGGATATTTGCAGTAGTAACCACGCTTGGCAATGTGGCAATGTGGGTTGGCATCCGCAGCTTTTTATTACTCTGCACTGTTATCAGGAAGATGTGCCATACATCTCCTGTTTCAGTTTCCCTTCTGTCGCCTCTTACGACACCCACGAGACGAAATGAGGTATTAGTTTGCATTTCGCAACCTCTACATTGCTAATATATTTGTACTCCCGTTCATCATATCGATTCCCTCCATAGATTACGAAATAAGTTGGATATTATCCTTTGTTGCCACGCTTGGCATGCAGGTTGCTAATGCATCTTTTTATTATTTTGAGCTGTAATCAGAAAGACGCTGCTGCCTATCTTCTCTATATTTCTATTCCCGTTCATGAATATAGTCCCTGTCACACGTTCATCATGAATAGAACTACATTTATGAAATTTTAACTTTAATTAAAGTAGTTTTAATGATATTTCTAAATTGAAGCCAACACGAGCGAAGCTGCGGGTAAAAAGCTAGTAGATAATAATTGAGAGAGGGAAACTTAAATCTGAATGAAAATAGATTTTAAATTGAGATTGGCTATAGTTTTGAACCAATTGATATTAGTTTTGCCTTATGAATATTTTCCAAATCAATATTATGTTATTCTGAAATGAGGTTTATGTGAATGACTCACGAAAATACTCATGAATACCAAACCCAAATAGCTACAGACTGGTGATGAAAAGTAGCAATGTGTAGTTATTTGTAGAGATTTTGCACAAATTTTTCAAATTATGCACGCTGTTTAGTGTATTTTATATAGCAGTGAATTAATGTAGACATGTAAAGGTGGAGAGGAGAGCATAAAGTCATAACTATTTTTATATTAGAAAATACTTACGTTTTTTCACTTGTTTTGATGGTGAATTGTTCCCTTTATGTTTCGAGTTGATCACTTGTCCCAATGTCTTCCGTTTCGCAACTCCACTTAATGACTTTCTCTTTGATGATAAAGATTGTCTTTTCAGTGGCTTCTTTTCGACTATCATCTTTGTATCTACACGTTGATTAACTGTCTCAGGGAAAGAATATTTGATATCACTGTCATCAGAGTCTGTGGAAAACGTGGATTCCGTAACAGATGGTTTATCTATTTTAACATTAGTTAATTTTGAGGCTGTTGAAGTACTTGGCGAGGTCGACTTTTGTTCTAATGACTTATTCCTCAACCGTGATGTTTTCGGCGGATGCTGTAAGGAAATCCTTCTTTTCACTAAATCCTTTGAATTAGGTCTTTCAATCTGTAGAGAATTGCGCTTTTCGGCCTTGACTTTCATGAATTTCTTGGCTTCTACACTTTCAACTTGTTTGAAATTAGGATTAAGCATGTACCTTATCTCATCTTCATCACTTGACTCAACTGAAGGCTTAGCTTCATCAATAACTGGTAAAGGTACATTTATAGTTTTTTGACGCGTTGTAACAGTTGGTAACACTTTGTCTTTAGCTGGTATTATTTTTTTAGGAACCGGGGTTTCTTGAATTTTCGACGTCGCATCCTCATCAATTTGTTTTGACTTTATAGGGATTTCAGGGGGCGGAATTGCATGTGTATTTATATTTTCTCCTGTGACTGTCTTTACAGGTGTTTTTTCTTTAGAATTAAAGGATTCTCCATTTTTAATTAGAGGCTCAACAACATTTTGTTCTCCTGAAAGTTTTACGATATGCGGCGTACCGTCTGGGTTTTCAAGTATTTCTGGTTTATCTTCTTTTAATTTATCCTCCTTCAAATCTTTAAACGTGGAGTTAGCATCTTCAATTATAATTAAGGAATCTTCAGTTTTATTTGGGTTACATTCCTCTGGTTTGGGTGTTTCGGAATCAATTTTTTCTATTTCTGATTCCTTATTTTCTGCCGCAATTTTAGCTTTTGCAGCAGATTGTTTCTTTTTTCTAAGACAAATTACAGTATGTTTATTTAAAGAATGCTCGTTTGGAAATACCATATAACACAATGAACATTCATGTATTATGTCTTTGGTGGACAATGAACTCTTAACACTTTTATCATCTGACTTTTCTGAACATGTATCTAAATGTTGTTCTTTATGTTCATTCAATAATTGAATTTTTTTAAATGTTTTTTCACAAATATCACATTGATGTATTAAGGTTGTTTTATTGATATCCATTTCATTTGCTTTTTGTCTGTTAATTCCATCATGAGTCTCCCTATGTTCGACAAGGTGGTGCAATTTTCTAAATGATTTGTCACAAGGCTCACAACGGAAGCCTGCACTTTGATCTTCTGTTTGCTTTACTCCACTCTGGCTTTTAAAGACTTTATTTTCGACATGTTCGGATGAACTTTTTCTGAGCATTCTTGAGGACACAGAATTAGGATTGTGAATAATTCTATGTTGAACTAAGTGATGCAACTTTCTAAATTCCTTTTTGCATACTTCGCAGCTGAAAACTGATTTAATGACGTCACTCTCGTGTTTTTTTATTTTTGATTCCTCATTTCTATGTTGTAATTTGTGATGAGCTAAATACGACGACTGCCTGAATGTTTTTCCGCAAATTTCACAAACTAAATTGTTGTTTGGTTTATGAATAGCTTTAGTCTTTACTGTTGACTTTCTTGACTCATGATGTTTCTCAGGTTTCTCCTTTAGAGGAGTATCTTCAATTATAATGACTTCATCTGAGTTAGCTGGAACTTTAGGAATGCTTTCCCTAGATTTCTTTTTCTTAGGTGATTTTACTTCCTGCTCCTCAATATCCATATCATCAGATTTACTTTCATGAGATCTCGTTTCTGATTCCTGTGACTCTCTAAAACTTCTTTTATCGGATTCAGATCGGTTTGGAGATGGACCTGTACAATGTTTAACATGTTTAAAAACTACATTTTCGGAGCGGAAAAGTTTGCTGCATATAGGACATATAATGTTTTCATTTATTTTACCCATTGTCCAATTTTCTTTTATAATTTCGTCATCACTAGAATCGTCTACATCAGTATCTTCACATTTGGTCACTTTCGCGTCAATTAATCTTGGTTTCTTTTGAGGACTAGGAACCTTGATTTTATTCACCTCGCCATCTGGAAGAGGATACTTTCTTGGACGACCTCGTCCTCTCTTAACAGGTGTATTTTGTTGAGAGTCAGAATCTAGTGTTTTTATGGGACTAATACTTTCAGCTTGGTTTTCTAATAACTCTGCAGCTTTGACTAAGTTATCTATTGCAGATATTGGATTTGATGGCCCTAGATATGAAGTATTTTGGTTAGTGATTTCTTTAAATGAAGTTTTAGATACATCCTGCATTTTTGTTGTATCATCTGTAGCAGCTCGCCCTAAAAGATATGATTTCTTTGGCACATGATTTTTTGGACTTTTTTCAATCTTGTCTTCAATTTTACGTTTCTTCTTAGGTGATATTTCTATCCCAAGATCACTAGGTTCAATTAACTCCATTTCTGGCGTCTCAACTGGAGTCAATACTTGTTTTCTCTGATGTTTGCTCTTAGTTTTTAATTCATCTTGTGATTTACTATCAAAGTTATCGAAAAGGTCAGAGTCTAAGGAATCAGTAGTGCTATGTGTAAACGTTTCCAGGTCTGGAATTGTTTTATTTGTTGGTGATAAATTTTCACCACGAACATTTAGTTGACAAGGCACAAAATCAGTATTAGAATCCATGAACACAACTTTTACTGGTTTTTCTTCAATAATTGTAATTGGGCAATCTTTTTGGCGTTTAGCAGTTAGTGCAGATTGATATGCAATTTGTAGCTTTGATTGATAATTCTTACCATAAGATTCGTCGTCAGCTGTTTGATATTTAACAGACGTGGGTATTTTTGTTGGGTGGTTGAGACGTGCCTGTATCAATTGTTGTTTATGTGTTGATTTTGCCTTAGACTCAGCCAGCAAAACTTCATTCCTCGTCAATTTTTTTTGAGGCATTTCTTTCTCTACAACCGTTTGTACGACATTATGGGGTTCTTTACCATCAAAATTAACAGTTAGACAATTTTCATAGGTAATGGAATTTCTCCGGAAAAATTTATCAAAGTCCTTTTCTGTTATTACGACATCTTTCTTAGATTCATCAAGTATTTTTGCTTGATCTGACTCAAGTACATTTTCTATAGCAGCCGTAGTTTTCTTCCTTGTATCTATATCTCCAGTGATTGGTTCGTGTTCAATGATTTCTTCATCTGACTCCATATTCACAATTTCACTGCAAGTTTGTTGAGTACTTTTCGCAAATTGCACTTGGTTGGGTGCATTGATGTTTTTACTTTTCTGGCTTTCAGTTTCTTGCGGTTGCATCTGATTATCGACAATTAATTTTTGAGGTAGTTCATGAGCAGGTCTTTCTACAAAAGGAATGCCATGCAATTCATTCATTTTCATTTCTATATCGTCTAATGTTACTGACTGTTCATTTTTAGCATGATATGATGGTCCAAATAGGGTCATACCTTTTTGTTTTTCTATTCCATCAGTATTTATAGTATTCGGTTTGGAATCTTCATTTGATGTTTTAACAGGGGGAACTCTGTTTATTATGTCTTCAATGGTTTTGTCAATCAGAGCTTGGTTGTTTATTTCTCTTCTTTGACTAGATTCCTTTTTTAGTATGGATGAGTTCGATAATAAATTAGAAGGTTCAGATTGCTGGTTTTGGGGCAGATCATCTTTAGTATTTTTTTTGTTACATATAGGTTTTGTCTTTGACGTTAGACGTTCTTTAACAGGTATTTTCGTATCGTGTTTAATAGACGCCTTAACAAATACAGCGGCTTCGTTATTTATATTCAATTTTTGTTGTTCTTGAACTTTTACTTTTGCATTCTGGGTTTGTTGCTGTCTTTGACTATCAATTTTTTGTAAAATATCTCGTCTATTTAAATCATTTGGTTGTTTTAACTGCTTAGTATTGGAATGATTCGTTGGAACTTTAGTTTCTTTTATTTTGTTCAAAAACTCTTGTCTATTAGCCTCTGTCCATTTTCCAAAGGGTACTGCTGCATGGTTATTATTTATCGGTTTAGATCCTACAACCTTATTTATTTGAGTTGGTTCATCTTTCTTATTTGGTTGAAGTTTACAAATTATTTGAGACGTTTCACTTTTTTCTTTTTGACACATAATTAAATGTTTTTCATCTTTTGTTACATTGGAATTCAAGCTGTTTTGAATTTTATCTGAATTTATCAATAAATCTTTAGATTTTGTAATTACGTCATTATTTGGGCTTACTTTTATAGATGTATCTATATTAATTTCATTATTATTTTGACTTTCATGTATCATTAAAACCTGCTTTCCAGTCCCAGTATTTACATTTTTCTTATCATGATTTTCTGATATTACGTTAGAAGTATCTATGACATTGTGTACTACATTATTTGTTACTTCAACAGTTTCTGTGGTTTTCGTTTGTTGAGATGCATTTAAATTTTGTGTGAATTTAGTGCTCTCAATTTCTTTATGCTGTCCTATATTTACTACATTTTTAGTGTTTAAGAATTTAGAAATCTCGATGCTGTCTATTTCAGAATTAATAACTTTAACACCACTATGCATATCTTTAGTTAAATGTTTAGCTGTTGTGTCTTGGTTTATATTTGATTCATTAAGAACTTCCTTTACATCTTCTTTCTCATGCACGATTCTTGCCTGTTGCTCTTGCTTCGCCTGTTCCTTTTTATATGCAATGCTTTCATTGGGAATATTTGCACATTGTTGTGCACAGTTCCTGCTATTTGAATCACTATCCAGGGCTGTTAAATCATTTGATAACGATTTCTCTATATTATGTTCATTAGTAACAGTTTTACTACTTTCTAATACTTTTATATCTTGTTCTAGAACAATGTTCTTTGTGCTATCACTATGATTTTTTTCATTGTTCATTATTGAAATATGTGTTCTAGTTGTATCACTAGTTTGATTTTCAAAATCAGCAACTATGTTTGTTATAGTTTTTTCAGTTTGGTTTATTGTCATTAATTGTGTTACTCTACTATCCACTTTTGGTATTGTTACATTTTCTTCAATTTTACAATTTTCTTTACTTGAGTCCTGTATTTCCAGACTTTTATTATCATGTTGATCATCTTGAACTAATAATTTATCGGCCTCTTTTTGCTCTCCTATACTTTTTTCTTCAGTTATTATTTTACTTTCCTTTTCAGTAGACACTGTTTCTGATGACTGAATAAAATCCGAAATATCCTTATTAATTTTAACTGGAGTCTCAAAATTTTTAAGTTTAGAGCTATCTGTGTGAACTTCTATGGTCTTCTTAACATTATCAGAGTGTCTATTAGGGTGCAGCTGTTGATCAACCATAGTTTTTGTCAATGGGATTCCTTCTTTATTAGGGGTTGAGTGAAATGTCATAGGAGTAAAACTACCTACTACAGGAGATTTTCGAGCTTCACTAAACTTCATCATTTTTCCATTAAGGTTTACTTCCGTTTTCGATTCAAACTGTGAATGTGAATCTTTACTCAAGTCAGTGTTGGTTTCACTAGTCAATGCATCTTTCAGAGGTGTTTTTATTTTCTTTTCAGCAATTTTAGAGGGTTCACTGATTACTTTACTAATATCTTTAATTGGGACATGAGATATATTTTCAGCAGACTTTCTAACTTTTGAAGGCTGAAAAAATAGCATAAAATATTAGTATTAAATTTTTGATAAATATAGTTTTCACATTATGTTAAGTTGAAACAACTCACCACTTCTTTGGGGACTTCAATTTCTATTTCCTCATAGACTTCTAAATTTCCCTCAGCATTCTCACTGAAATGTAGGACTTAATATTAATTATAAATCAATGCTTTTATGTTGTAGGGTCTTAGAAAATACTTATACAGTAAAAGGTATTTGGGCCCACTCTTTACTCTACCCCAATCACATAAACATTAGGTACAGTTTACATCAAGCAGTTATAAACAAGTGGAAAAAAGTTCCCCTGTATCTGTGTTAGTGTGATTGACTTTTCATTGCCATCATCAGCATATAAACACCACCTTCCACTACTTTACATGAGCTTCTTTCGTAGTACTGGAAATTTGATATGTAGTGCCAGATTAAGAACTTAGCAATATTTCAAATACCATGTAAAATGTATATGTATGGAGCCATGTTGCAGCATATTATGTCTGTAGCATAAATAAGTTGGCTCGACCAGGGAAGGATCTCGCTTGCACAACAGAACACCATCATGAAATAGCAGCATATTACTGTTGTGTTTCATATTGTGGGACTGCTACCGAAGCATTACATCTTAGTCCTCGGCGGTGACAATGCATGTACAATTTTTATTATTAATTGAGGACAAATATAGGTATGCTTGTTGGTCACCTTTATTTCTACAAAAAAATGAAAAGGCTGATTTAATAGCCAATATTATTTTTATTCAAATAATTTCTTTAATAATGAAGTATTTCTCTTATAAACTAGCAAATAAGTGTCAAACCCATTCAAATTCTATCCTACAATGTAGTTTCTCACCTTTATGTTGGTCTGTTGTAAAACAACAAATAAAAATATAAAATTACTACCCAAGTGCTAAAAGTAGCTGCTTAATAAAGATTTACCATCAAATAATTAATTTATATATTTATTGTGCTGACGATGGTAACAACTTAGTGAATATTAATGAAGAATGAAGAATAACTTATATATACAATACCAATAGCAGTGACATTACATACCATGGTCACCTAATTAATTTTATATAAATGTATGTGATTTAAGGTGCACCTTAATCTACTGTCGCTGATATTACAAGATAGGTGTAATGTTGTATTAGACGCATATGCTGAACACCATTCAAGGCAGTAGTCGAACTGCGCAGTTTAGAAAAAAGGCTAGGCTGGTTAACTGAAAGGCTAAATAAGCTAGTAAGCTGCAACACATACATATAATGTCTAATATAATTTTAATTATAATTTTTGTATTTGTAATAATTATTTTTTCTAGTGTTCATCTATTATACCTCTAATGTATTTTTTCCAGAATAAAGTGTCTGGTAATGACTGCCTTGTTGGTCTAGTGGTAGTAAACGCAACTGCTGATCATGAGGTCCAGGGTTCGAATCCCGGGTTGAGCCATAAAAAAAATTATTGAGTTTTCCGTCAAGAAACTGTCAGTAGATGCCCGAAGTCAGGAACTTGGCGGTGTCCCATCCCCGTGCCTCAGAATACATGTTTAGCCGTTGGTCCTGCGCCTGATCTCTCCGGTCGTGTGGTTTTACTGTCCCATCGGATTATGAGAGTGATGAAATAGAGGGTGCACCTGTGCTTGCACATACACTTGGGCACTATAATCCTGTCCTGTGCCAATGGCCAGTCTCCATTGAGGCTGGCCGCTGTAACTGTTTGGAGGATATTATAAGTCTTTGAGTCATCATAAAGTCTACGTCAATTTAAATAAATAAATTTAATCATTTATATTATATGAATTATGTTACGATTTCATATATTATGTTGTAATTCAATATTGCTTCTGGGCCTCTGGCCAAAATACTTTCAATCAAAATACTAAGTTTAAAAATTCTCATTCAGGTTTTATATAAAAACTGACATTAAACTTATTCAGCCTTAATACAAAACATGGGTTATCTTTATCACAAAAACATAAGCCATTAACTGGAGCAAGTCTTCTCTAAATTTGACATTTACTGACAAATTCCATACTTTAAGTTTCAGTTCACATATTTTCCACAAGACTACAAAAACAGACTCTAGTTATAGTGATACTATATTATATATATATATATATATATAAAAATTACGTGTCGTGTTGTTTGTCCGCGATGAACTCCTAAACTACTGAACTGATTTCAATGAAATTTTGCACAGTGGGTGCAGTTTAGTCCAACTTGAGAGATAGGATAGTTTTTATCCCGATAAGTGACCCTCCATATTTTTTATTGCAAATTTAAGGATTTTTATAGGAAGGGTCATTGGAAATGGCAGAACAACATATGCCTGGCGAGCTAGTATATATACACACATATATATATATATAGATCTTTTATTATACATAAAATTTTACCCTAAATCTATATAAAAGCTTTGTATATTTCTAAAGAATAACAAAATTCTTACCGCACTTTGAGGAACTTGAAACTTGATTGCTGCTGATCATCGTCAATAATCTGAACAGCTGCAAGTTCTTCTTGACCCTCCTTCCGATACAAATATAAGCCATTACCAATGGCAATAGCATTAACATTTTTCCCATCAATCTGTAGCACAACTTCAGTGTCTTTACTTGGAATTGCCGAGTCAGAGTCGTCAATTGCAGTCGCTAAATTATCATTAACTTTACCATATGGAAGAGCGGCATCTTCAGTAAGTTTCACCTCTGTGTTGGATTTTTCATCAGTCTCTGTGACATTATCGTCAATAACAAGCTCATCGCCATCAAAGGAGTTGTCATTATCATCGAAAATGTTAACACCTCCTGACAATATGTTTGCAGCTTCTATTTGCTTACCAATTTTGTAACTGGCCATATCGCCTTTCTTGGATATTGGTGACAAATTTGATATCATCGGGTTATTATCCGTGACTTCTGCCTCTGTAGCAGGGTTGACAGCATCTTTTGAAATATTAAAGCTGGATTCATCTTCTAGCATAGAAAAATATTTGGAACTGTCATTAGCGGTTAAATATGCCTCGCTTGGCGGAGAAGATGTATCCAATGTAGAATCCCCTGACCCACCAGCTTCGTTTCTTAACTGATTTAATCTATCCATTTTCACAAATCATCTGTTTTGACAACAAAATACCAAAAGTTTACCGCGCTGGCTAGTGCAGTAAACATGCACTGTATCTCCTATACGTAAGCTAATGAAAACATTTGAAGGTTGATCAATTAGCACTCAGGTCAATAGCTTCGAACTGTAGTGAAACTTTTTAGTGGAACAAACGATAATGAAACTGTGACACTTGACAAACGCACAAACAATATGTTCGCGCCTAGTCATGGATTATTAAAATAATTAACTGGTTATTACTAAATGATAAATGTCTCAAAACTTTCATGTAGAATGATTTGTAACAATATTTTTTTAACAATTTTGTTAACAACACAACACATCAAAGATTAAAGATGGACGTCGCGAAAAATAGATAACGATGTTGCCATTAAATAAACAATTATAACACAAAGTTTAGATATAAAAATTTTCTGTTTATGTTATTTTTTAATTTAATTAAATGAATATTCCTGACTAAAAATAATGTTAAGCTAAACCCTAAATATAAAGATAAAAGGCAAAAATGCTTTCTATATGAGAATAGAAGAAAAATAACTGTAGATTTGTGGTTTAGATACTACAACTGTGCATTAAAAATCTTAAAATATAAAAATTCATTAATTTATATAAAAAAAAAAAACGGTGAATTAAGATGAGCCCAAATGGCTAGCCCAGTGCGTTGCGTAGGTAAAGATTCTAATTTTTATAACGTTACAGCACTTTCGATTGTAAGCAATTCTAAAAATTGAATTTAAAAAGCAATTGACGTAAATTGCTTATTCCTAAATTCGATCTTCCTTACCAACACTAATAGAATACCCCAACGGGCATAGTAACGACAGTGAGACTCGTAAAATTACCAACTGATCTCCTGTGCGATACTTTATACTGCTTGAGCGAGTGGGAGATCACAGTTCTACCTTAATCATTTCTTCTTACTTTCTTTTATTTTTTCCTAAGAATATTATAATTATTCGAAATCATGTTATTAATAATATTTGAGTACAGCGTGGTACAGCACTAGCTCTGATTCGGGGTAAACCTAAAGAGCGAAACGCGAAACACGTGCTGTGTCGCCCCGGCCACATGCTTCCCACTACAACCTTTGACACCTTAAATAATTTTGTTAAAATCATTGTTTTCTTATCGAAATATTACATACCGATGTAAAGAACTACAATAATTCTTCTTAGCTTGCTTCCGTGAATCGTTTTTGCAGCTTGCCACTGCACATTTCACCATGGTAAATTAACAATATTTTTTAAAATGTTTTGTTAATCATATTCTTACATTGTCATCCGAATTTGAGCTATATTCAAAATTTCAATTTTCCAGCTCATCGGGAAGTTAGTTTGAAATCAAGTACTAAATTACACACTAAACGACAGACAGACAACATAGAAAGTTAATAAAATCGTGGTAAAATTAAAATAAATAACGTTCAGAGAAATAATTAACGCGCATAAGCTGTCGCGACTAATAATGTCGGCCTTGCTATTTTGGGGCTGTTCACACCCGTGCTTACTGTTCATACTCACCAACGCGCTCTCTATAGCTTGCTTATAATTACTCTAAGATTAAACTACTCTCTGACTGCCTTCTATTACAACATAATAACCTTATTTCTTATGTGATTAGTTTTAGCGGGAACTTAACCGGCAGCGTATTGCTACTACTCTTTATATTTTAAATAATGATTTGAAGTGGATTTGATAAGTATAGTCTGCTCGCTTAGTTACGGTCACCTCTTTGTCGCGCCGCCTTGGCACGTGTCGCATCTTGTCAAAGGCGCCGCCGCGACATCAAATGCCGCCGCATGCGGCGTACACTGGTAGGAGAAAATTGCATTTTAAAAATCAGCGCCGTAGTGAAAAGTTGTTTGTTACTTAACTTGTGTTTATTATTGATATTGGTATTTTATTACAGTAACCATGAGTATTCTATTTTCTTCTTAGAATTATTATTATAATTTATTTTGTAATATTACTATGTTCTAAGAATAACATATATTTTAATAATTATTAAAATATGTTTTATTCTTAGAACATTTATTGAACAAACATAGTAAAAAAATAATAAAATAAAAGCAAAATAATAAGTGCGCCTCCTGGTGTACAGACACTATCTTAACGAACAGACTATAATCGTGGTTCGAATTTGCTTATTATATATTTTGGTATTATGTACACTGCCTCGATGAAGATATCTCATTTAAATCATCATCTATATAAGTTTCAGTTCAAGTTATTAAGTCCATCAACTCTCCAATGGGTACAAACAAAATATAACAATGCACATGTTGTAAAATTTTGTGAACAAAATTCATATCAGACTAGGTTGTATGGTCTAAGATCTTGGCCTGCCTTAATTTGCGAATAGTGACAACGACATCCTACTCGATCCTACTCTTTGAGTTTGAGCATAGAAAATAGAGGAGCTGCCCAGAGCGTCTATAATTATGTTTTATTCGTAGATAGAGTATTGACTAGATAAAGCATTCGCGTATGCTTTTGAGATAGAAATAACCAGGAGGTACTTTCACTGGGTTACCAGATATTGTTCCATTTCCCCCGTTATGGGTTTATTTATATTCACAGCACTTACATTCATACAAAAAAACTTAATTGTTACCATAAAAAAATGTTCTTTTATAATTCAGATGGTTAATTAATTTCTCTTGAAAATACATTCTGTGACCAAAAACTACGGGCGGAAACGGCGTAAAAACAGAATCATCATTCTGTATTCAACCGCGCATCGACGATTTTACTGGACATTCAATAAACTCTTTGGATTTCGACAGCACTAAGTGAATGCGCTAATAGCACAAAGTGTGATATCGCTAATAAATAACAATATGTTATGTATGTACTTAAATATTAATTGAGAATAATAATATTAAATAATAAACAAAAATTTCCTTGTGTCGAGTTTTGTTGTTTTTACAAAAAAAAATCAATAATGTTTTAACATACCATCACAAGTTCAGTGCTGAACACAGACCTTCGAAAGGAAAGGGTTTCCACTTAGGTTTTGTAGTACAAAACACGTTTATGAGCCTACTCATGCGATTTCCTGCATGTTTTGCTAAGTTAATATCTTGTTTGCGGCAAGTTGTGGCGTACAAGAGAATTTGTCTGTACACGGGATGATATTTCCCCGCGTCGTAAGCAATAATAGGTAGTGGCCAACCAACATAACGCATATTTTCACGCAGGCGTGGCAACTATGGCAAGTCATCCTATGAGGATATCTATGGAAGGCCTTTTTTAGGTGACTTATTTATGGTTAGGTGGCTTAATCATGTTACCTAATGGTTAAGGTGGTAAAATGTCTTAGTTAATATACGTTGTAAAGTATCAACAAAGGTTTATTTTTTTGTAATATGTTGGTATATAAAATAAAAGCGAATGTTTTATAATATTCTATTTTAATTTACCATGCAGTGTAAGATTATCTGCTACCTCATATCATTCCATGGGTGGTGTATAAGGCGACATAGGGAAACATCAAAGAAGATAAACAGCAGCATTGTCCTGATAACAGCAAAATAATGGTTAACAACCCGCTTTCCAAGCGTTGAAACTGTGCCAAATAACTATAATCATGTTAATGTTCAACAGTGGACTTATGATATATATTCTACTGACTGTAGACTGTAAAGATATATATTCTATTTAAATGAAAATATATTGAAATTTGAAAAGGAAAAAGAACTAAATTTTGCGTACTTACACAACTTTTAGAAATATTAACAATGTTACATTAAGTAAAACAAATGAAAACACAATTATATATTAAATATAATTCAATAAAATTAAAATAAACAAACGATTATTTATTAATTTTTCATCACATTAATAAACAACAAATTTAACAAAATTTTTGTCTTCTTTCTAGAGCATTCGTTGTGATTCTTGGTTTGAGTAGCCTTAGAATTTCTCAAAAATATGCATTTGTAAACTTGATTTATACTTTTGCATGGCAGAAATTCTTGGGTGCTGGTCGTTAGAATCAGATTAGAAGGGAGTGTATATATATATATATTATTTGCCTTGTATATAATATATTTTAATGGTATAAATAATAAGGTACAACTCCTAAACTATACTTAGATAGGTAATACTTATCTCTTATTTCTTATTTAATATTATAAATTATTATTTCTTAATTTATTTACACATTAATGTTTATAACACCTTTATAAAAGTGATTAAGGGTGGACTAAATGTCCCATTGGTATGCATTCCCAGTCAGTTTTACAATTATTATGGCATAATAAATTATTCATTTGTATATTTAGGTCAGGACTTTAAATTACTTATTTATTTATTTTATTTAAATCTTTATATAAAACATGGTAGTACAGATAAAGTTTCAACATTTGTAAATGAGGATTCATGTTTAATCAATACATCTATAAGTAAATATTTTATCATTGTCATGCCACCCAATTATTACAAGTCATAATAATACAGAATGTCAGCATTTGAAAATAAAATAAGCAATGCTAGTCAATTTTTAATACATACAGAACAATGTCAAAAATCATAACTACAAACAAGATCAAACTTATATCACTTATAGAGAAACAACACGATACAACAAGAAATTATAACATTTAAAAAAATTATCTTAATTATATTATAAATTACATAAGTTAAGCATATTTAGTCCACCTAAAACAATGAGGCTTAAAATGTTTTGAGCATACACTGCTAAGTTTTGTTGGTTACTTATAAGCACTACCAGTAGCGATTATCCAACTATTACGGATAGCTGATTCCTTAGGAAAGCTGCGAAATAATATATTTAAAAGAAATTAATATATTAAATATATAGTACACTTTTATATCAAGGTATTTAACAAAAAAAATCAAGAATGTGTATCTGTGCATAAATAAAATACCTATAACAATTAAAACAATATCAATTGATTTAATTAAATAGCAAGTATATGTAAATGTAATGATAAAATTATTCATACCAAACATTTA